GAACCCGGAAGATGAAGCTGTACCAAAGTTTTTTTGCTGCTGCCTTGTTGCTGTCGAGGATTGAAGCTTCGTACACGATGTGCAGGAAAATACGGATAGTGACGCCCCCACGGTGCGGAATGTACGAGTTCACTCTCCTACAATGGAAGACAGGGGCACTGGTTTCAGCGCCATTAAGAGAAGTAAACTGGAAATTAAAGGTTTAAAAACTAACCTGGCGATCGAACTGGATCAACTCCAGAAAAGTTTAGAAAGGTTCGAGAACATCGTTATAAATGATCTCGAGAACAAGCGCCTCCCGGCATCCGCTCGTTCCGAAAACATGAAACTAGCAAGTCCGGTAGAAGAACGTCAGCAGCAGATGCAGATCGATCAAAGAAAACTTGAAATTGATTATCATACTCTACGAACGAAATTGCTGAATGCAATCCGTCCAACCGAAACTTCGCTGAAGGAGTATCATGATGAAGTCGCGATTATCAAGGATAATCTCTATTTTGACCTGAGGATTCTCTTCGCGAAAACTGAATACGATAAGCGTTGTATTCAAAGAAATGATAAGTTTGAAGAGCTGAGAAAAAAAATCGAATCCTTGGCTCTTGATGGTTCTCGCAGTTCCTTTGACTCAATGATGAAAGCATGCACCATGCTCGAATTTGGCCCAATTGATATCAATTCAGAGGGGCTTGATAATATTTTTGATGCTCCGCAGTACCGTGTTCTCTACGAGTTCGCTGAACGTCTTGCGAATGAAAAAATTGTTGTCAGTGGTTCCTACCGGCTCTATTTGATTACTTCCGCTGTAGCTAATTTGATGAAAGAGATGCTACGTCAGCGATTTAATTACACTTTTGACACAATACCAGCGCCACAGAATGCTTTTGCTACTCTTGCTGAGTTTTGCATATTACGTTCGGACGAAAACGCCTTGACTACCAAGAAGCTGTTGGAGCAATTAGGCTTAGTAATGCAAGCCTAGTCAAGTCTGGAAGATAGCAAATCTAAAAGAAGCTACCAAA